CCCCCCCCCCCCCCCCCCCCCCCCCCCCCCCCCCCCCCCCCCCCCCCCCCCCCCCCCCCCCCCCCCGGCGGGGGGGGTGTAGTGTACACCATGGACGAGTTTGATCAATTAATTGTCCACTAGCATGACGATGAACGCGCATTGGTGTCCATGGTTCACTATCTGAACCTTCAGCACCATGTTCCATATGATATTTAAACTCATTTACTGTCAATCTCACTTCACAACATGGACATAGTAATGCAGTACCTTCACCATTTAAATAAAAACCGCAATAAGCCAAACATTCAATAGGCACGTCAACAAATGTTTCTAAGTTATATTTTTTAAATGTATCACGACGACTTTTTTCATGCGCCAATTGGAATCGAACATCAACGAGTGACAATTGAGTTGATGGAGATATATCATTGACATTATCAGATAAACTGTCGTCATTTCGTTCACGTTGTAATAATGATGATTGCTGGTTTTGAACAGTAGCTGTCATTGAGTTAATCATAAAACCTGGTGGATGATTAGCTGAATCCGATGTTGACAAGGTCGTGGGAGATATAACCCGTTCAGAAGATTGACTTGTCCTCATTGTTGTCTCACTGGGTGACTGTAATACCGGTCGCGGAGATTTTAAGTATGGTTCAATTGCAGCAAATGTAGGTGGATCGGGTACTGTTGTTTCATATTCTTCACTGGATGAATCTTCAAGAAAGTAAGAAATATACGGTTCATCGAATAATAGTTTTAGTGGATTGAGACCGTTGGTTGTTGGTGATATTATTGATGAAAATATTTTTATGGATGATTGTGTTCATATTTCTGAAGTTTGAGTGTAAATGACGGATGAGTACGTATAATATCTCAAAAAAACATCGTAATGTTAAATAGTCTAATTTTTCATCTAGGAACGCAATCATTATAGACGTCTAGTATGAAAATCAAAACAAAAGGTATGCCATCTCATTCTAGCATCTGTTTGTTTAAACAAAAATTAATGACACGCCATTAGTGAAATGTACAATATTCTTACTTGATCGATAACCTTCACTTGAAAATCCTCAAAAGAGTGAATTACGTGTTATAATGTTCCGGTTCAACAAGCCATTGTTTTTGCTAATGCATTCCCAGTTATATTAGCCTAGTTTACGTCAAATCAAAAATCAAGCTTTTAAATGGGTTTATCCGTACTTTCGCTTTAGCTTAGCAATTTAGCCCTTATCAATTTCTATAAGATCTTACAAGATTTCATATGACATCTTGTAGCAAGATTCTTATAAGATATCTTATGACAGAAATGTACAAGATCTTGTATGATCTTATAGAAGACGCTATAAGAAATTATACCACATTATAAGAAGTCACAAGATTTTATGTGGCCTTATAAGAATTCGCCTAGTCTGACAAGATCGTACGCTTGATCATTTCCTGTCGAATCCCCCTATACCTCTGCAATTTCCTTTTTCTCTAATTTCTAACATTCATAGGCTATAGGACTGTAATTTGTCACGTTTCTTAACCATGCACTTCATATGTGCTCAGCTTACATCAACTTGACTTTTTTTAGTCAAACCACACAATACTAGCGCAATCAGCTCGAGTTCAATAGTCCCAGTAAAGCGATTCGTTTAACACGAGTGTGGTGATTCTTCCTTTAGAAATGGCGAACCAAGGAAACATTGAACAGCTTTGTGGAAATATCTTCGAATTCATCTATCAAGTATTGGTCGATGTACACTTGATCTCTCAGAATGACTAATAATTCCGATAGTTCATTCACTCGACCTACAGGCAATGTACTTAGTGAATCGATGCGATTCACGTTATTTATTTATTCTATTGCCTGTAAGTCTATAGTCATTCTGAATTCCAGACAATGCTCACGCGTTCCTTCGGTCCCCGCTCGCAGCCAGGAGAATCCCAAGAGCATCCTTTAAACAATTATTCTGCCTGTGCTTGGAATATTTTGATGCTCTAGATCACTGGCAAAATTGCAGATGTTATTGCATGGTCTCTAAAATAGGCGAAGCGAAAACAGTTGACATCATTTCTCTTTTCACGATCTTAAATGTACGTCAGCAATTAGACATAGTAGTGAACCATACCATATCACTTTAGAATTTGTTATATAAATGCCGCTCTGGCATGCAAACTTAGGAAACGAATCCATCGTTCGCACACACTTGTTCTTCACTGCGGCTAGAGAATCGTATTCGATTCTTACCTCTTTTAATGTGTATATAATAATATAAGCGACTTTACACACTGTCGAAGGAGCAAGACATTTAACAAACTCGCACATATTCCGTTTTACTCATATATATATGTTTCAAACAATTTTCACAAATACTCGGATGATCATCTCACACTTCTATTACATTATTTATGCTAGTACTAGTCACGCAACTATTCAAAAGTTTCATTGTTGATTGTTTAAAACAGATGAAAACAAAACGTTTTACATACTTCACTTTCAAAACGTCGTATACTCTCATCTTATAAGTATCTTTCTCCTATTGCATAAGAGTGACTCATTGTCAACCAAAGAAAGGAAAAAACTTTTTTCACATAAAGAAAAACACAGTTTCAGTTACATGGATATAGTATATACAGTTTCCTCACTACTCACCCTCTCTCTCACATGGGTTTAGTTTCTAAATATAAAATAAATTCGTGGAAGGTGCGGATGTTCATTGTACAACGATCTATTTTATTTTACTTTTATCAAATTAAATGGAGAGTAACAAAATCTTACAAATATAAAATAACGGAATATGTGCGAGTTTGTTAAATGTCTTGCTCCTTCGTCACTGTGTAAAGTCGCTTATATTATATACACATTTAAAGAGGTAAGAATCGAATACGATTCTCTAGCCGCAGTGAAGAACAAGTGTGTGCGAACGATGGATTCGTTTCCTAAGTTTGCATGCCAGAGCGGCATTTATATAACAAACTTTTAAGTAATATGGT